AAGAAACTGTAGAAGATGAATAGTTTTTTCCTTTGTCAGGAAAATAAGTTCTTTGTACAAATTCACACTAATAACAAATAACAAAATAAATAATGTCAAAAGTTAATAATAAAAAGAACTTGGATTTATAGAGGCAGTCCCAGGTTATGAACAAGATCTGTTTCTAACTGTGTCTTTAAAAACTTGTAGGTCAGTGGGAGCAGGTGCACATGGGTCTTATTTAGCTTTACTTTAATGTAAGAAGGATATCTGTTGGTGCAATGGTTAAAGCATTCAATTGCTAACAAAAAGGTCCGTGGTTCAAAGCCACCAGCTGCTCCATGGAAAAAAAGATGAGGCAGTCTGCTTCTGTAAAGATTTACAGCTTTGGAAACCTTACAGGGCAGTTCTACCCTGTCCTATAAGGTCACTATGAGTCAGAATTGACTTGATGAGAGTGAGACTTGATGAGAGTGAATTTTAGTGCAAGAAAAGGCTCTAAACATTTGCAATGATTTAAAAGCTGCATGAGCAGCAAGTGAAGGGGATTATGAGAAATTTATTGCCATAGGAGTGGGTTCAATTGTTTCAAATTGAATGTAAGAGGTTCTGCACTGTCCAGCCAGTAATCCAATATCATACATCAAGCTCCTGAAAGGACTCACTAGGCCTCTTCCAAGTCTCACAATCTAGGGCTTTGATCTGTAATTTTTTTCCATTTTGCTTTTGGTGACAAATCACTCAAATTGTAAAAATTTCAGTTTGTTCCTTTTTCACTTTAGTGGCCATGATAGAGCCAGTTAGAACTCCTCCTGCATTACGAACATAAGTCACACTTTCATAACATGAGAACTGCCTGTACTAAAATCTCTTTTTCAAAAAAAAAAAAAAAATCTCCTCATAATGATAATAATAAATTATGTTCAATGGCCTCTGACTTCTCCAGGAAGAAATAGAGTGATCAGTTGGAGTTATGTCAATGGGAGGAGAAAGGAAAAAGATAGCTTCTATGATCTTCTATTCCTATGGAAATATATTCTATAAATGGTATGAGGACCACTGAATGGCCATCTGAAAAAAAAAATTCCAAAGATTGCAGAATTTTTTAAAAAAATTATCTAGGAAGCAGGTTAAGTGGGTCTAATGATGTCCCAAATCCCAAAGCTACAATAGAAAAAAAGCTGATAAATAAATTTTTAAAGAAACTAGGCATTATAAAATTTATCTTAAGCAAAGTTAAGAGGTAAAAAATAGTAAGAATAATTTTCAGCTAAAAACACAAAAAGCAAATGTCCTAAAATAAAGAGCTCTTAAAAATCTACAAGAAAAATCCAACATTCCTCAAAGAAAAAGAAACATTAATGGTTGAGAAATATAAAAATATTCTCAACTTTTACTGATTATAACAAAACTGCAAATCAAAATTCTACTAAGAATAGTTTAACTTTGTTGTATAACTATTGGAAATAATCCATTGTTAGGTGCCATCAAGTCTGCTCCTG